TTAATAAAATTACAAGTAGTAGTACCCGCGCGATGCGCAGAAACAAATTATGTCATGATTTGGGTCATTTGAATTAAGTGCAAATAAGCTTAAAAGATAAACCTTTCAGATAAACTAAGAGGCTGGACATAAAACCATTTCTCAAATCTCGTAGTGGATAACCTTTTAAAAAAAGAGAAACTTTCAGAAACCGCTATGTTTTAGTGGTTATTAGCTAGTTGTAGCTACCATTTACTATATTACTTCATATAGCTATGTTTTCAGATTTTTTATAGTGTATTCCATGTATTTAAGCTACTGTATTCGTGAATACGGTAGCATTTCTAGGCGTGAAACAGGGAATTACAGCTAGACATATTTTTATATTCGAGTGTATTCGACTGTATTCATGGCGTGAAACATGGGATTACAGCTGGACAGATTATTGTATTCGACTGTATTCACGGCATGAAACAGGGGATTACACTGTTTTTAAATGGAAAGTGAATCAATTAACATAATTGACTCCTAATATAACAAAACAAACTCAATTATAACGCACAAATTTTGTATTTCCAGTTATAAAAAAGATTCTCAACCGAAAAACACCCCAAAAACACAGCAATCTTCAGAGAAATTATATAATACATCTGAATACATAAATTATATAATTAAAAAAATATATGAATACATTCATGTAATACAACGAGACAGTGAATACAATAAAATACATGGAATACAACGAGATACATTGAAATTCAATGGAAAAAAAAGACAATGAATACATGGAAATATGGCGAGATACATTGAAATATATTAACAGAAAATTCAAGTTGCTCAGCCCCAAACTCCGTCGTCTCTGTTCAAGAACAACCATAATGTCGTCTCAGCGGATGGAAATAACAATTCCCTCGGAATAGGAACCTCAATTTTCACTTTCTTCTTATCTACCACATCGTCCTCGCCGCCAACGATTTTCCTCGGAACAGGAACCTGAATTTTCAGTTTGTTTCCATCCGTAATTAATGGTGCTGCCATCCAGAAATCCATTAGAATCCACCATTACCAAACAAATTATTAAGAAAGATTTTTATCTACTTAAGCCTGAAGAGAAGTCCTGGATTGATTCTTTCTCCAACAATTAGGTCGAATAATATATGGTTCTCTTCAAATTGAGGTACAGACCAATCCTACCATATATTTCAAGATGTAATAGGAGCAGATTCGCTAACAGGAATCAGCCGGAGTTTTCATCATCATAAACATCAAAACTTTGCAGTTCAAATCCATGGCAAAGAGATGGGATTCGAAACTGTACAAACAAAAATATCTTTGAGAAGCTCTGTAAAAGTAAGATGAAGGCGGACGATGAGAGAGAGAGAGAGAGGGAGAATAGATATGGGGTAGGGGATACGAGAAATTTGAGGGGAAAGGAGAAATTTGAGTGGAGAAAGAAAAATAATACAAAGCTTATTTTATGGCTTAAGGGTAGGAGGTGACCATAAATAGATATTTGGCTATAAAAAATCAAAAGGTAGCTAAGGAATATAATTTTTTAAAAGGGTATTTATTTAAAATAAATAAGGTATCAACCTTTGCTATTATGAGACAACTAATCCTTTAAAAAAAATTGTAATAATCCAACCCCTTGATTTTACTAGTTGCATTTTATTTTGCTGTCAATATTAAAAAATACTAAACATGTCATGTTGTGATATGCCTTGTTTGAGCACATTAGATTTTATTATTCTAATAAAGTTCTTACTATCAATTTAATTTTCATCTCAGATTCAAATAAATCTTCTTCTACATTTTTACACATTTTCCCCCTTTGGTCGTTGCTTATAATTATTGTACAATTCTTTACATAATATTGTTGTACTATCACGTGTTTTTTTATTAGCTTACCATCGATTTAATGTCTTGCTTATTATCCTTTTAATAATCATCAATATATTTTAAATTTTTGAAACTTAATGTATTTTTTTATCCTCTTACTTGGAACTCTTTTATCATTTAAATCTAGCAATGATATTTTAAAGTACTGTTTAATTTATTTATTTTTAAATTAGTTCAAGTATGAGTTTCCTCGTACAATCTCTATTTTTGTCTTTATGTATACTCTTTCCTAATATAAAATTCTAATTAGTTTTTTACATTTATATTTTATCTACAATCGAAATAATATCACATTTTCTCTATGTAATGTTTCTAATAATATAAAATAGAAGAAAACGGATCATGTGGTCAGTGAATAATTATAGGAATCCTTATTTTCGAAAAGCTTTCAGAATCTATTTACTAAAAATAAATATAAGAGGCAATCTTAACTGATATTTATCATAAATAAAATTTGATCAAATATAATTTCTCTTAATCCTTATTAGAATTGTCTAAATCTGTTTCAATTACGTCTAAAACATGCCAAGTGGTATTTTCTCAATACACCACTTGACTTAATGTCATACTCTAAATGCAAATTATTTCAATTTATTAATAATATTTTTAAATATTATATATTTACTATATTTTATTTTCTAAACTAATTTTTTATATAAATATTATCACATTATCTCTAACTTATTGATATTATTTAATATTTAATATCTTTTTAATTTTAATTATTGGACTTGATGTGGCCGTAGCCACGCTACGACCTTTTTATCATAATAGATTTACAAAACAAGCTTTCTCAACTCAAATTTAGATAAGGTTTATCCTTATTTTTTCTTTGTGATGTTTTTTATTTTCTCTGTTTGTTTTTATTTTATTTTGCTATTATATTATTCAATACTTAATAGTATTAAATTATCATGTGGCTTTTTTTATTAGTTTGTTTGTATTTAATATCCAGCTTTACCATACACATTTTAATATATACAGATAATAGTTCAAAACTATTTTAATAGTAACTTTGACTCCATTGCTCATATTCTAAAATATGTTTTTTCTTATCATATTTTAATTTTTTTTAATCTCAAATTCAAATAAGTCTTATCCTTCTATTTATTAAATTGGAGTGCATTTTCAAACAATCATCTTATGTTTTCAAACTGAAATAAATTGCACTGAATTCATATATTAATTATAAAAATTACTTTCTTATTTGTTTGAACACATTATATCTAATTGTTGTAATGTTATTTTCACTATCATTTTATTTCTCTATGTAATGTTTTTAAAATATAAAAATTATAAAATATAAGAAAACAAATCATGTGATTGGTGAATAATTGTAGGAATCCTTATATTTGAAGAGCTTTCACAATGTATTTACTATAAATATAAGAGGCAATCGTACAACTTGTTTGGATGGTTGTTGCGTATCGTTTCATAATGTATCGTATCGTACTGTATTGTATTGTATTGTACTGTATCATTTGATAAATACAATGTTTGGATAGATTGTGTCGTTTGCCATCGTTTCATGATATCACACACCAGCAATATGAAGAATAAACTTGCAATATTATAAAGAAAAATTATGATACAAGATAAAATTATTATATAAAAAGGTAGGGTAATGATAAAATAAAATTATTTAATTATAATGAAGGGTGAGATTGAGAGAAAAAGACAAGGTAACGACGCGACCACACCAAATTGGTCGTTACATAAAGTGGCACATTTCGTCGTTATGTAACGATACGATACAATAAAATTTAAGTAACAATCAAAACAAACATCGTATTTAGCGTAATAATATGATACAATACAATTGGTAACAACCATCTAAACAAGCTGTTAATTGGTATCGACCATAAATAAAATTTGATCAAATCTAATTTGTCTTAGTCCTTATTAGATTTGTCTAAATCTTTTGATTATGTCTTAAAAGTGCCAAGTGGGATGTTATCAATATGCCACTTGGCTATGTCATGCTTCACTACCCTCCTTTTAATATAATATAGATTTTACTTCATAAAAAAAGGTATTTTAAACTATTTTTAATTATACGTGTCATTTATTAATTTGTTAGTTCGGCATGTTATGAAGATTGAAAATTACGCATGAGATCTGCTGGAGTGCATTTGTCCCTCATTTGTTTGTTTTAAGATTAAGACATCTGAATCTGAATACACATCTAAATGTCAAGATCTGTATTAAGATAAGACATCTAAATCTGAATACACATCTCAATATTAAGATGTGTATTAAGATCTGGATACTAAATGATTAAGACTGTTTGATTTTTAACATCTAAATGTATAAAATTTATCTTTATTTAAAAATTAGTAAACATAAAATTTAAATGAAATACTAATTAATCAAATATTCAATCAATAAAATATATAGTTTTTTAAAATATGATAGATGTTGGTGGTGATGGCTAATGAGTGAATGCCGACTAAAGGCGGTGGTTGATGGTAGTTTGGGTTGATGGTGGTGGTTCGAGGTGCAGCTAGTGGTGATTGGTAGTGGTGGTGATTATGATTGGGGATGGTGATAGTTAATAATTGCGGGCGGTGGTGGTAATTGTGATTGAGGAAGGTGGTGGTGGGTGGGGTGGGTGGTAGGGTAGGTTATAATGATGGCAGTGCGGGCTATGGTTGTTGATGGTGATGGGGTGGTTAGTTGTGGTGGATGCGTGTTTATTGTGGTTGAGAATGATGGTGGTAGGAGTGGTAGGGATGAGGGGTGGCAATAGCGATAATGGTGGCGACTATGGTTGAGGATAATGGTGGTGGCGTGGTGGTAGTTGATAATGGTAGGCGGTGGCGGTAGTTAATAATGATTATGGATGATAGCATCTTAATAAAATTAAGTCTCTGTTATAGATTTTAATCATATAGACCTATTCAGACCCATTAAATGGTTGTAGAGTAAAGAAAGCAAACACACTTAATGATTAAGATCTGAATAATCGAGATTAAAACTTTAAAAACAAACGCATTTAATGTGTGAGATCTGGATGATTAAGATTCAGAACTCCGTTAAGTGCAAACAAATGATTAGTCACAAAAATAGTTAAAGGGTCTAATTGGTATTTAGTGCCAACTTCGAGTGTTGTATAATCATAAAGGAGGGATCTAGGTGTAACTTCCCAATAGAACCGAAAGCAAAGGAAAGAGTCCGACCCGTTTAACCACGCAGCAGAAACTCGTCTTCTTCAAACAAACAAACAAAGAATTTACAGAGTTTTCTCTCCATCAATGTGCATTTCATAATTTTGGTTTCTCTGCTCCATTCACTTCAACAATACCAACCAATCAAACCCAATCATGGCAGTAAATTTCCTACCAACCTCATTCTCCCATTCTACATTTCATCTCCCATCAAATGCTCAAAAAGCTGATCACAAATTTACCTTAATTTCATTTTGATTTGTGGTTTTTTCTATTCTAAATTAATTTTGTGGTTTTGTAATGATGCAGGATTCGACGGGTACGACGTTAATGGATCTGATAACATCAGACCCATCATCCACCTCCTCCACTTCATCACAGTCGACGCCTGCTGCACCGCCACCCTCACTACCTTCACAGACGGCTACTGTGGCGGCTTCCGCATCAACGGATCGGAAGAAGAAGGGCACACTGATGCAGATCCAAAGTGATACCATTTCTGCTGCTAAGGCTGTTCGTGCCAACATTATGCCTCAGAAACAAAAGAAAAAGGTAACTTTTTAAATAATACTATTCTTTTACAGGTCCAAATAGAAGAGTAGAGTAGCAGGCCCATGTATCCCTAAGTGTCCAAATTAAAAACAATGGATTTCTGGTCATAAAAGAATCTAGTTGACCCGGCTGCTGTTAAATTGAGGCATAGTAGAAGTTGTTATTATGTATCACTCTTATTGAAGTGATCTGGAGCTCATAATTAGTTTGCAATTTTTAGGTGTTGATTCGTAGTTGTTTTATGACTTATTTGATATCATTTTGTTTTTCTTCAAAGTAGTGTCTCATAATTTAATTTTGGTTTTCGTCATCTAATCCTAATTCTGGAGCCCATGCACTAACAATGTCTGCTGTTGCAGATCTAAAAGAAATAAATTAAAATGTCACATCTCTAATAGTTTAAATTTTTAAATGAGGTGGTCATACAATTAAACATAGTATTAGAGCAAGAAGGGCCTTGAGTTTGTCTCATTGCCGTGCTTCAATCATGGGGGAAGGTCTAATCCTTTTGCCGCCACAAGGCTGGCTAATTTTATGCAGTAGGCTCGGACACCCTTTGTTTTGAAAGGCACATGAGTTTGAACACTATGTTGACTGTGCGTTTTGACACATAACAATGCAGGGTTGCTTGGAAGCCCCAATGTATGCTTGTGTTTAGTTGATTTGGGAAAAGCTCCAGTGCATAATATATTAGAAAGAAGAGAAACCATACAAATATGGTTGCTTACTGAATACACCCAATCATCTCTAATTTTGCGTACTTCATTCTCGTGCATAAATGTTCTTCTAAGCCTTGGCTGTGCACAATGCACACGTTTATTGCGGGTATACTCATATAACTCTTCCACCCTTTTGTAGGTGTTATAGAAGGAAATATGTCTCTGCCAGCTTTAGGGATTCATATTATAGGACTAGACCTAGCTAACCTTAATGGTGTATGTTTTTAAGGCAATGGGACCTTTCGTCTTTGACTAAACATTGGTTGAATCTTTCTGATCTCGTCTCTAGTGTGCCTTTCTAGTGTACCTGTCTCAGTTTGCTTGACATTTTTGTACAGCCAGTTTCTTATGCACAACTTGCAAGGAGTATCCACGAGCTAGCAGCAACGTCTGATCAGGTACATTAGTGTTCTCACATTGTACTTTCCACTGGATAAATTTCTTTCTTTAAAATGTTCACTTTTTGTTTGTGATTACTTGCAGAAAAGTTCTCAGAGGCAATTGGTTCATCATGTGTTCCCCAAATTGGCCGTATACAATTCTGTTGACCCTTCTTTAGCACCATCTCTTCTTATGGTATGGCTTACGACTTCTATAATCTTGTTTCTGCATTTCATTGGCTATTTCTTCCCAGAGATAAAAAGAAGCTCTAGAAAGAACTTTTAGCTTGCAAGAGTAGAGAATAATACCAAAAAAGAGCATACATTGAGCGTTTGTGACCTTTATTTGCATGAAATGATGTTCAATTACAGCCGAGCTGAAGATAAGTGTTTATAGCTTGAATGCATGCATTTTGACAAGTAATCGTATTTTTCTTGTTTCTTTAGCATTTCCTTTGGAACAAGAAGTTGAAATTTGCCTTTATGGTGAAGGATTTGGTAGTTGCTGGAGTTTGCTATTGCTGATGTTCTTTTCTTTTTATTTGGAGGAGATTGTGAATTATTCTACTTAGCAAAAGAAGTGTTTTTTTAAAAATATCTTATAGCTTCCTTAAGGAAACTCTGAATTAGTGAAAATTGTTTTATGCTCATATGCCAGGAGCGACCTTTTGTTTTTTCCTTATATTGCTCTTATGCTGGACCTAATGAACTTTTCAATTTCGTTTAAGCTTTATGATAAACTGTGATTTTTTTGGCCAACTCTTCTTTCTTTTTGTTACATTACAGCTTGATCAACAGTGTGAGGACCGGACTGTTCTACGTTATGTCTATTATTACCTGGCCCGAATTCTCTCAGATAGTGGTTCGCAAGGTGTAAGTTCAGGTGGTGGGATTCCTACACCAAACTGGGATGCTTTAGCTGATATTGATGCAGGTGGAGGAGTGACAAGAGCTGATGTTGTACCTAGAATAGTAGATCGGTTAACATCAGAAGCCTTAAATGAAGATGTTGAATGTAAAGTCTACTACTATTATTCACCCTTTTAGCTGCAATATCCATGTATTATCATTCTTTTTTTTAAAAAAAAAAAAATCATGCCAGAGAACGAGATATAACTTAGAAGTAACCAAATAACTGTACGATTATCACCTATTAAAAAAGGTAACGAAATGACTGTGTAGAAGGACATGGAAGCAGCTTTTAAGAAAACGCTTAAAATCCTCTCTAGTTTTCTATGGTTTTTATTGTTGGTACGGATATATTGCCTCTTTTCGTCTTCTTTTCGTCTTTTTGAGCTGAGGGTCTTTCGGAAACAGTCTCTCTACCCCTCGGGGTAGGGGTAAGTTCTGCGTACACACTACCCTTCCCAGATCCCACTAGTGGGATTTCACTGGGTCGTTGTTGTTATTGTTAAAATCCTCTCTAGTCAAATTGTCAAATGCTTTTTGGATTGACCTATAGAGTTGGTTTATGCCCGTAAAAGTCATGGCTCTTGCATGTCTTTTGACAAAAGATCAGTGAATGTCAAAGTTTTCTTGCATCAGGAAAACCATGACCCATCCAAAGTTTGAATTGTGAAGCCAACCTATTTTTTCCTTTTTTTGTGGGATAATTATGATGCCACAATGGGGATGTAAGAAGCAACCTTTTTTCCTTCTCGATGTTCGACCTCCAGTGCCCACTTGTGGGATTATACTGGGTATGTTGTTGTTGATGTTTGACCTCCTGAGCATTGCTTGAATGCAACCTTTTGAATCCTCCTCAAGATTAATGTATAGGCTGTGGGTGAATTCTTGTAATCTGAATTCCTACCCACCAGAAAAATAGTTGCTCTGCTGTAATCTCAATCTCAAAGTTTTTGTCCATGCACTTCAATTTGTCCATGGCATTATTTTGTTTGAATTTTGCTGCTATTAGAGCAGACTAGAGGTAAATTATGAATCTATTCATTCTCTAGGATTCAGTGGGTCGGCAGAAATTTCTTACACATGATGTTTGTTAACTTCTACATATCATACTTAGCGTCACTACAAGCAGAGCTTCTTTATTAAATAGATAACTTTGTTTCATACGGTTGTCTTTTTGTGTAACTGGATGAAGTTGGTGATGCTTCTTTTTGTTTTTGAAGTTCATGCACGGCGTCTTCAAGCTTTGAAGGCTCTTACATATGCACCTTCTAGCAGCTCTGAGATTTCGCAGAAGTTATACGAAATTGTTTTTGGAATTCTAGATAAGGTTTGTCCACACATATATCTTACCATCCACATATTCTTACACTTGCTTTAAAAAATCCATCCCTTTGTACAGATAGCTTCTCTTTACATACTATTTCATATGACTTTGCATTTTCATTATTAATGTGGTTGAGTTGTTGTGGTACATATGAAGCATATGCTTTCTTGTCTCCACTTTGTTCTGGTCCTCTTTTCCTGATAAGTAAAGCCAATTTATTTTTCCCTGTTATGATGTTATATCTTCCTTCCTATAAAGGAGTAGTAGGAGGGATGGGTTACTTTCCACCTTATCAAAATAAAAATAAAAATGGGTCACTTTCCTGCAGGAAGTAAAGATGTTTTCCGTTTTTCATTAAACGCATCAAAATCAGATTATAAGGTATTTAGCTGTATTTACCTTAAGGGATGAACGCATGCTGCAAAATGCAATTTAAAGTAATAGACATTTTATGCAGGAGGTGTCTACATACTAATTACTAACCTTAAAAATTGATTTATCAAAAAAAATACTATTAACTTAAAAGAAAGCAAATGACAGAGTCGGTCCAAAGAAACTATTGAGAACCTCTGTTTTAAAAGGCAGAATCGGGACTCGCCCCGGGGCGGAGCACTCGTAAAACGCCCCTGGGCTTATATGTGGGGCTTAGTTCCATGAGACTTACGCCTCGGCCATCGGGACTTACGCCCCGGACACGCCCAACGCCCAGCGTGCTGGGCTCGCCTAATAGAACTTTATGCAATTGTTTGTAACTAACCTTGTAAGTCCTCAAATTTTCTTAATAAATCGTTGACTATTTAAAATTACTTTTTCTCTTCATCATAAATCATTAAGTTGAGAGTATTTTATGTCATAAGTAAAATAAAAATTATTGCACGTTATCCATTAAGACTGCTATGATAGTAAACTTTAAATAAATCTTTCATTTAAAAAGTATTTATTTATTAACTTTTGTTATGTCTTTATTGTATAATAGTCCATAATATTTTTATGATTATTTTCCTAAATATTAGTTTTTTCACGTTTACGAGATACAATACTTATTAATTTAATAGCTCAGTATTAGCTAGCACAACTATTTACAAATAATTAGTTATCATGGTATAGTATGGTGAATTATATGTCACTTTATTAACTTGTTGAAACTTAAAAATAAATGATGCTAGACAGTCATATTTAAATTGTGAATTATGTTTTTATATAAATTCTCTTTCAAATTAAAAGCATATTTTATAAAAGGAGTATTTTAAAAAAATATCAAATTATAATATCGAAATTATTTCAAGATTCATTACTCATTAAGAGATACATATAAGATTTCGTATCGAATACATTACTTTTGTTGTTTAAGTTGTACGACGTTGCAGCTACTTTGCATATTATGATATATATCATACTTTACGTATTATTCATAGTCGAATTATAATTTATAAGTATTTTAATTAGATTAGTTGTTATAATTTTGTGATTTGATGTAATTTTTATAACTATTTTTTATTTTATACTATCTTAAAATTCTTGAAATTAGTAAAAGTTAAAGATCCGTGGGACTTACGCCCCATGTCTCAGGCTTACGCCTCGCCTCGTCAGAGGTAAAACGCCTTGCCTCACGCCCCCGCCTTTTAAAACATTGAACATTCAATCTTTATCAAGAGATGTTAATCATTACACAGTACCTTATCAAAAATATAAAAACGCAGTGGTGTTTTGAGTCATCAAATGTAAAATTCGTATAAATCACTGGTTATAATTCTTTAAATGGGCATATTATTACTTTCTCCAACCTATTTTATATGATGGCATTTAATTGGATATAGAGCTTAAGATGTTAATTTGACTCATATATTATATTAGCGGCAACATAATAATATTTACAAATAAGTTCTGAAAAACTCTTTTACTAGGGATAACATCACCTCAATGTTCAAAATATTTAAAGTTCTATGAATTTTAAATTCTTGAAAGTGGTAAAAGTCATGTGAAAATGAGATGGCGTCAAATTTTGAGACATCCAAAGTGAAAAAATGTCATATTAAATCGGGACGAGTGGAGTAGTTATTGGAGCTTCTATTATGTTTTGAAGTTCAAATGCGAATTCTTATTGTAGTATTCGGGGAACCGGTGAAATTGGACATGTTAAGAGCAGGTCTTACCCAATTTTTGGTCCTAGTTTTGCCAGGAAAATTCAGATTCCTCATGGTGAAGCTAATCCTATTTTTTTGCATAAATTTCCTGCTTTCACCTATATACACTCCTTTGCTTGTGGACCTAGATACTTAGGAGAATCTGTTTTTCTAACTTCCCCTTTTGGCAAATTTTCTTGACCTGAAATTTTTGAATTTCCTGCCCCTCCATATTCTTAGCTTCTTTGGTGACAGTAATTCGCCATCTGTCAACTGAAGTGCTTTGGAACCCTTACCCTGTTTAATTCCTAAATTCCTAATGCTTTTGACTGTACGAGTATGATTTACTTGTTGGTGAATTATGAACTCATGTGGTTTATCCCAAAAAAATTAAGAAAAGTTGATAATGATTCTTGTGGTCAAAGCGAACGAAAGTCCTTACAGAGAGGTAATAAAAAGCTAAGAGTCTTTGGATGGTAGTTTCAAAAGGAACGAAGCCATTGTCAACTACTTATGTCCCTGCCAGTTACTTGTATTTTATTTCTGCACCATTATCACTTCCACATAAAATTAATCTTTTGCCAGGTTGTCTTTCTTTCCAAGATGTAAAGTGTGCTTTATAGCATTTTGTGGTTGTGGCTTATTAAAATATTTCTATTTTTTGAATTTGTTACCTTTGTCAAAAAAGAACATTTCTGCTTTTGGTTTATGAGAACAAATAGTACATCTATACCACAGGTACTATGTTTGTTGATTCTAGTATGCTAGAAATATCATAAATATGCTTTCTAGTAACTAAGAGTTTTTGCCTCAAATAAACACAACTACTCCCTCCATTCTAATTTATGTGAAATAGTTTGAATCTGACAGGGTTTAAGTAAAAAATGAAGACTTTTGAAATTTGTGATTTTAAACATGCCCATAACATTTGTGGGGCTATAAAACATTTGAAACTTGTTACCTTGAACATACATAATATTTGTGTGGCTATAAAAGCTTCTTCTAGATGAGAAGGGTAAAATCAATTGTTACCAAATATAGAAATACGTCGCTCTTTTTTGGAACGGACTATTAAGGAAATAGTGTCACATAAATTTTGTTAGATAAACAACTGTAAACGTTTTTCTTGAGTAGCTTTCTTTTTGGATAAGGTTCTTTAATGACTTTATCTACTTCAATCATTGAAAAGGTTTGGCTCAAGTTGTTTATTGACGACTTCCAATTGTTAGGTTGCTGATACACCACAAAAACGCAAGAAGGGCATCCTTGGGACGAAAGGAGGTGATAAGGAGGTACATTCATCAAATCACAGTAATAAATCGAAAATTTTGTTTGCAAATTATTTTATTCTTTCCTTGGGTATGATTTCTTATATTACAAACTAGCGAGGAAAGGAGATTTTTCCAATACACAGGAACACAAAATTTCTTCTCTATGACCTGAAATCTTTGGGCCAATGTACATGTGAATGGATTTTTGTAGTTTGAAGACGTGTCCTCTCTCTCTTAGATATAATTAACTGAGTGCAATTTTTATTTGATAAATTATTTTTACAGAATCTTAAAGAAGAGTTGGTAGTATGTCTTTTACAATCTTTTTGTTAGACTTGGAACTGTAAAATACTAATAATTGCAGATACATCTTTACTTAGATGGCATGTGCTAGGATAGAATAATATTTACGTATCTACCAAGGGATGTATCTTTTATGAAATGGTAAAGAAAATAATAATTCTATACTTCTTATCAAACAAAAAAAAAAAAAAAAAAAAAAAAGGAAAAAAGAAAAAGAAAAAGAAAAAGAGGAACAAATCTACATTCCTTTTTTCTATCTATTCTATCACTAATGAGTCGGTAATGTTCTTAATCATGATTAGACTCTCTTAGGCTTCTTCTGGAGTCGATGACTTTGAGACAAGAGGATCCTCTATCAACAATGCAATTCATTATAGTTACAGAGGAACTGAACAAATACAATGGATAGAGCAGTGACATCAGAGTATTTGAAGGGATTCACATCTAGGAGAGGAAAGATCAATAGCTTATAGTTTATCTCATTTGCTATTGGTGGACGAACGATACTTTGATGCTGTATGATTCTGAGATGGCCCAGCTCAATAGTTTGAAGAACATTTTGATGTGGTCTGAAGTGGCTTCCAGATTAAGGGCAAACCTAAAGAAAATCGAGATCCTGATATGAGAATTGATGAGTAAAAACGGAGAGAGCTGTGGCAGGAGGATCTCGAGTGGCTTTAAATGCACGTGAAGGGGCTATTTAAGACCAAACAAAATTAAATAAAAATGCACGATCTCTAACACTTTAAACTTTAGGATGTCGGCTACAGTTAAGAATGTAACGTTCACTAAGTTTTCTGCAGGAGGAAAAGAAGCTGTGATGCATGGGATTTAGCTCCTTTGGCTATTACACAGATACTTTGGAGGGAAGGAAACATGAGAACTTTTTTAGCACCCAATGGTGTGCCCTAGTGGTCAATGAAGTGAGAGGAGAACCATAAGGTCTCGGGTTCAAATCCCAGCGGAGACAAAAAACACTAAGTGATTTATCGCATCTTCCGTAGCCTTGTTGGGTAGAGTTACTCGATACTTGTGTCGGTGGGAGGTAGCAGGTGCGCGGTGAAATAGTCAGGTGTACGCCAAGTGGCCCAGACACCATCGTCAAAAAAATAAAAATAAACAAGAACAAGAGAATATATGAAGGTGTGAAAAATGATTTGCTATAATGAGGGCCCATCTTTTGTTTTTAGTTAATTTTGGGTGCACATATGAGGTTATTATTTGTAGAGAATCATATTCTTGTGTAGGTTTTTACTCTTTATAGTTCTATCCACTATGACATTACTTATTAAAATAAAAATAATTTAAATGTTTAGACAAGACGGTTCACACAGTTCAACTGCATGAAGTTCTATACACTGGTGAAGTGGTGATACGTAACAGTTATCACGAGCCAATTTCGGGTATATAATGGTTCCTTGAAATTCTGAAATTACATCCGTGTTTTATCTTGGAGATCCATCTGTTGTATAATAATTACCTTTTGCAATATGGTTTTCTACTGTTTACAGACTTGTTCTAGACTGATTCACGATCATCTAAATGTAGTTGCTGAATGAGTCGACTCATGGCGTTTTTGAGTAACTGAGCCTTGCTTTAAGTGGTTTTGATTTAAGTTGAAGTGCAGATGCAATTATTCTCTTTCTTTTTGTAGTTGGGTGGGGTAAGGGCTGTTGGACAAATAGATATCATACGGCTGGATGCTTCAAGTTTTCACCAATCTCATGGTTCTGCTTGGAAGCAGTCAACTTACTGTTTCTCCCCTTCTTCATTTTTCAGTCTATTATTCGGGGTAATTTGCAATATGCTGCATTGAGTGCGTTGAGAAGACTTCCCTTGGATCCAGGAAATCCAGCTTTCCTTCATCGTGCTGTGCAAGGGTTTGTTTGCTCCCTAGTGTTGATATTTTTCTAATCAATGGACAAAGATTTTGATTATTTTTTCTCATTTTGCTACTTAATTGCGGTATATCCAATTTCATTAGTGGTCTATTGTTGTAATCAGAGACACTAATATCTGCTGAAACAAAATTTTGTCTTATTCTTGGTTTCCATGCGTCTAAACTCTGCTTAATTAACCAATGCTGGTATGACTACTAGTGTGACTTTTACCATATGAAGTATGGTCCAACCATGTTCTTCTGGCATATTTTGGAGGATATGGTAAATTGATTGCCTAATAAATCCTGGAGATGTCTGCTACGAAGTGGTTTAACGTCAAGAGGTGAAAATCAAGCCCCCGATTTTCAAGTTTACCAAGAGCATTGTCTTGGGTCTAAGGGGCCTGGGCCATTAAATATGCTCTTGCCTTTCAGAAATTCAGCATGGCTTGATAAGCTATTACCTGATCTCTTCTATTTAATGAGCAGAAAAGTCATACGGTGTTGCATCTGCAACAGTGTTTCAAACTCATTACTAGTCTACTAAAATAATTAGTATTCTGTTTTTGTTAAAAATACATTTAAGCTTGTTCAAATTTTATTTGCATTGCCGAACAGCCAAATTTAAGGCATTTTATATGTTGATACAGTGTCTCATTTGCTGATCCAGTTGCTGTGCGGCATTCTTTAGAAATTCTCTCTGACTTAGCCACAAGTGATCCATATGGAGTTGCAATGGGATTAGGTAATATTCTCAATAAGGTGTTTAAGCTTTTGGCAATTGTTTCTTTTGCTTTAATATATGAAGAACTTCAGTTTCTGTACTCCAATTTCTATTTTGTGTTTACTTACAATACTGTGCATTGCTATTCTGATTCTTGTTTTATGTTAATGAACACTGGCAAATTTTTCCGCCTAAATTGTAGCTCTGTAGGTGCGCGTGCAGGAACATTTACTTTCCTCCCAAAAGAAAAAAGTTACAAAAAGAAGGTGGTTTATATAGCACTTTACCACACCATTTTTACCAAAAGCAGAACTATTTTCAGTCAAGTGTCTGAACTTAAAATATGGAGGGTAGAGATAACTGGCAAATGGTAAAAACCTGTTGAATGGAAAAAGCCTTGAAGTATCATAGATGCATTGAAGAGAGATCCTTTATTTAGCAGTTCCCAAAAGACTGAAAAGGATGTTTCATTTCGTGTCCTGTTTCTGTTCTTTTCCTTGCCTCATGTAATTGACTTAATTGAAATATTTACTCTATCGATTCCTTGAAGAACACTAATTCCCCTAGAGGCTTAGTAAGTCCAATCATTGAGGGTTAGTGCTTTGCTTCAAGAATCTTCACAAGATAGAGACACTATAGCTCTTTCATTGTTTAATATCCCAGGTTTCTATAGTCCATATAGTCTAAAGAAATAACAAAACAAGCGAAATCTGATTATAGCTAGTTGTTTGAGACTTATTGGAGGGAGCGCTTTGGAGTTCATTGTGTTTGAAGAAATAGTGCTATCTCTTGATAAAGAACGTAAAAGCCAACGAGAAGGAGGGAAGTGGTGTTAAATAAATAGTGCAGTTGTGTTAAGTAAAGAGGAACGGTTGGACGGTGCAAAGGTTCCATAGTTTCGGTTTTTCTCCTTTGAAAAATTTGAATTCTATCGAGGTCCACACATCCCTAAATATGAAAAAGAACAATATTTCTTGATAAATTGTTGAAGTGCTCTGTCGTGGAAAGATATAGAAACTTGAGAATCCTCACTTTAACAGTTAGAGGGAAGAGAAGGAACACCTTAAACAGTAGAATGAACAGTGTTTTTTAAAAACGAAACACAGTTCAATTAGTAAAGAAGTGAAGAATAAGCTGAGGAAAGGACCTGCAAGTGCCAAAGTTCTGGACTTATGGGATATTCTTCAATCTATCATGAGTTTATAGCGATCAGGGTGTGGACTCTTTAAGGAGGACTTCATTTCCTATCTGCATTCGTATTCCTTTTAGATAAATAACTCTGTATTTGTTTTCTTGTGGGTTTGCACTTGACAAGTAGCAATGTCTTAATGTTTGTTATTGAGATTATGATGTGGTGTCTTATGCTAAGACCTAGGGAAAGAATACTTTTAGTGATTTTCATGAAATCATTGTGTAGAATTTCTTTGTTGATGTATTTGATTGATGGTCTAGAGTTGGTTTTTGACTATAGCTTTTTTGTCTTTTTGCAGGGAAACTTGTGCAGCCTGGTGGTAAGTTAATATTAACTCTCTGAGTTCACAGTCATTTATTAGCCACTAATACTATCAGAATTTGTTTGAATCAGGGGCTCTACAGGATGTACTCCATATGCATGATGTTCTTGCTAGAGTTGCACTTGCTAGGTTGTGCCACAGTATATCCAGAGCTCGGTCATTAGATGGTATGTCTATTTGAAATGTATTCTGAGCAAGCAAGTTCCTTTTCTGTTTGGAGACTGGGAGTAGATAAAATGGCTGATTGCTTGGTGAACTCCATATTGCATGTGCAGAAAGGCCAGACATTAAGACTCAGTTCAATTCAGTGCTCTATCAGCTACTTCTTGATCCTAGTGAAAGAGTTTGTTTTGAGGCAATCCTTTGTGTGCTGGGTAAAGTTGATAATGCTGAGAGGTAGCTCCTTCTACAGAACTTTTCTTTTCCTAATGTTGTAGACTGCCTAATTTGTAAGATTGATGAATACTTAATCTTCTGTGGACTTCTGGACTCTGTAGGACTGAGGAACGAGCCGCTGGGTGGTATAGACTGACCAGAGAAATTCTTAAGCTTCCAGAAGCACCATCAGCTAAAGACTCAAATTCTGAATCAAAGGATGCAGCTCCGTCAAAGTCCTCCAAAGATAAGTCTTCAAAGACAAGGCGCCCTCAACCTTTGATCAAACTTGTGATGAGGAGGTTCTCAAGCTTGTTCTATTGCTCTCTGCCCCCTCCTAACCCATAGGTTCAACTTTTTCGTGCTGAATTGGTAAGATAACACCCTTCATTTTGGCAGATTGGAGAGTTCTTTTCGCAGTTTCTCTCGGCCTGTACTTCATGCAGCAGCACGGGTAGTGCAAGAAATGGGTAGAAGTCGTGCTGCAGCTTTTGCTTTGGGCTTACAAGATATTGACGAAGGAGCTTATGTTAACACCTTTCCTGAGAATAACGACTCATATGATCAAGATCATAATGAAACTTCTCACCCTGAAGGTAATGAAAATGAATATGCTTTTTAGCCATAATTCGTGGTCTCTCCCTCCCTCCCTCCCTCCCTTTCTCTCTCTCTCTCTCTCTCTCTCTCTCTCTCTCTCTCTCTCTCTCTTTTGTGATATGAAATGGTTTGTAAAAGTCATACTGGTTGAAGAATTCATTAATTGCTTGTATGTGGTGCAAATGATCTTTCTCAAGGTCTTAAAATAGAGTAACAGATGGGCTATATAAGGAATTTGCAGTTTTGGGTCATATGGAGAGAATAACCATGAGATGTAGAGAGTTTCCAGTTTTGGAGAACGCCTAAGGTATGTACATAGGAGCCATCACAAAATCTGTGGACTGTTGAGAGGAGATATAAAGAAGTTTCCCATAATCGTGGGTTCACATTAGCTATTTGCCTTGAGCCTTATTCTTACTGTAGCTCTGGATGAGCTAACAGATATAATACAGGATAGAGTTCATGGTGTATTATTTGCAAAAGATATTGTGTTAAATGGATGAAACCAGCGAGGGAGTCAACTAAAAGCTTGAACTGTGCAGAATTGTTCTAGAGAGTAGAGAGTAAGGGTTGAGGATAAGTAAAGGTAAGATACAATACATATACGACTGGCGGACACACGAAGAATGAAGTTAAGGCGATTAGACGGATTGCAGTGCCTAAGTACAGACATTTTAGATATCAGGGCTCACAATTTCATGAAATGACATGATAGATGAATATGTAGCACATGTAACTAAAATAGGATGAGCAAAATGTAGTATTACAGGATAGCAGTTTTACAATTGGCATTGGAAATCTGTTCAGAAGCTGAAATACCATTTAATGTATCACGTTGTGTGGCTAGTTGTCAAGGATGCTCATTTGACTCAAGAGAATTTGAAGAGAGGGCTTGCAGCTTTGCTCTAGATGTACCTATGGACAGTGGCGGAACCTAGGATTTTCACTAGGGAGTGCGAAAATATAAAGAAGACAACTACAGAAGAAGCCGAAAGAGGTATTAAACGTATAGTACATATACATAAAAAACGAATTTAACTACGATACACAATGTAAAGTTCAAGTCGAAAGGTAGTCAAATGAC